GCCCAGCAACTTTCTAATTGAAACCATATGCCTATTTCCCCTAATTAAAAAGTTAATTAACCAAGTTTAGTTAATTAGCTGGCTACTTAGTAGGTTTTTGGCAATTTCTGACGTCCGCCGTGGCTGGTAGTATGTTCCCGAAGACAGTTTATTTTTTTCTCAAACGCCTTAATTTTTAGGATTTTTGAAAGTCTTTGCAAAAACACCCGACCGGACATTGGGAGGCCCAGAGTTCAAATCCTGGCTCCGCCGTTTTTTGGCTTTCGGCGGGTTCCTGAAAACTTGGATTCTTTGATTCATTGGATTAAGTATGGTTCATTCACCTGCACATATTCGTTTATATCCTCCTCGGAGACCACGTACGATGACGTGAAGTGCCCGTGTTGTATATTCAATAACGTGGCTCTTGAGTCTCGCAGATGATGACGATACCGTGTCTCTAAAAGCTCATAAACAAAGAATACTACATGTACACGGGGCGAGACAAACAGTGGGAGGATTTCTGGAGCACAAACGAGCACGTACCACGTGACACTAAGCGTCGTACCGCGTTCCACGCGGCGGCGTGTGTTTCCAGAACACCTCCGATTGGACACATTTCGTTTCTTATGCATTAATAAGACAGGTAGGAAACGCCAGAAAGCCAAGGTGGAGTGGTGTAGAGGTTAGCACACCCGACCGGACATTGGGAGGCCCAGAGTTCAAATCCTGGCTCCGCCGTTTTTTGGCTTTCGGCGGGTTCCTGAAAACTTGGATTCTTTGATTCATTGGATTAAGTATGGTTCATTCACCTGCACATATTCGTTTATATCCTCCTCGGAGACCACGTGCGATGACGTGAAGTGCCCGTGTTGTATATTCAATAACGTGGCTCTTGATTCTCGCAGATGATGATGATACCGTGTCTCTAAAAGCTCATAAACAAAGAATACTACATGTACACGGGGCGAGACAAACAGTGGGAGGATTTCTGGAGCACAAACGAGCACGTACCACGTGACACTAAGCGTCGTACCGCGTTCCACGCGGCGGCGTGTGTTTCCAGAACACCTCCGATTGGACACATTTCGTTTCTTATGCATTAATAAGACAGGTAGGAAACGCCAGAAAGCCAAGGTGGAGTGGTGTAGAGGTTAGCACACCCGACCGGACATTGGGAGGCCCAGAGTTCAAATCCTGGCTCCGCCGTTTTTTGGCTTTCGGCGGGTTCCTGAAAACTTGGATTCTTTGATTCATTGGATTAAGTATGGTTCATTCACCTGCACATATTCGTTTATATCCTCCTCGGAGACCACGTGCGATGACGTGAAGTGCCCGTGTTGTATATTCAATAACGTGGCTCTTGATTCTCGCAGATGGTGACGATACAGTGTCTCTAAAAGCTCATAAACAAAGAATACTACATGTACACGGGGCGAGACAAACAGTGGGAGGATTTCTGGAGCACAAACGAGCACGTACCACGTGACACTAAGCGTCGTACCGCGTTCCACGCGGCGGCGTGTGTTTCCAGAACACCTCCGATTGGACACATTTCGTTTCTTATGCATTAATAAGACAGGTAGGAAACGCCAGAAAGCCAAGGTGGAGTGGTGTAGAGGTTAGCACACCCGACCGGACATTGGGAGGCCCAGAGTTCAAATCCTGGCTCCGCCGTTTTTTGGCTTTCGGCGGGTTCCTGAAAACTTGGATTCTTTGATTCATTGGATTAAGTATGGTTCATTCACCTGCACATATTCGTTTATATCCTCCTCGGAGACCACGTGCGATGACGTGAAGTGCCCGTGTTGTATATTCAATAACGTGGCTCTTGATTCTCGCAGATGATGATGATACCGTGTCTCTAAAAGCTCATAAACAAAGAATACTACATGTACACGGGGCGAGACAAACAGTGGGAGGATTTCTGGAGCACAAACGAGCACGTACCACGTGACACTAAGCGTCGTACCGCGTTCCACGCGGCGGCGTGTGTTTCCAGAACACCTCCGATTGGACACATTTCGTTTCTTATGCATTAATAAGACAGGTAGGAAACGCCAGAAAGCCAAGGTGGAGTGGTGTAGAGGTTAGCACACCCGACCGGACATTGGGAGGCCCAGAGTTCAAATCCTGGCTCCGCCGTTTTTTGGCTTTCGGCGGGTTCCTGAAAACTTGGATTCTTTGATTCATTGGATTAAGTATGGTTCATTCACCTGCACATATTCGTTTATATCCTCCTCGGAGACCACGTGCGATGACGTGAAGTGCCCGTGTTGTATATTCAATAACGTGGCTCTTGATTCTCGCAGATGGTGACGATACAGTGTCTCTAAAAGCTCATAAACAAAGAATACTACATGTACACGGGGCGAGACAAACAGTGGGAGGATTTCTGGAGCACAAACGAGCACGTACCACGTGACACTAAGCGTCGTACCGCGTTCCACGCGGCGGCGTGTGTTTCCAGAACACCTCCGATTGGACACATTTCGTTTCTTATGCATTAATAAGACAGGTAGGAAACGCCAGAAAGCCAAGGTGGAGTGGTGTAGAGGTTAGCACACCCGACCGGACATTGGGAGGCCCAGAGTTCAAATCCTGGCTCCGCCGTTTTTTGGCTTTCGGCGGGTTCCTGAAAACTTGGATTCTTTGATTCATTGGATTAAGTATGGTTCATTCACCTGCACATATTCGTTTATATCCTCCTCGGAGACCACGTGCGATGACGTGAAGTGCCCGTGTTGTATATTCAATAACGTGGCTCTTGATTCTCGCAGATGATGATGATACCGTGTCTCTAAAAGCTCATAAACAAAGAATACTACATGTACACGGGGCGAGACAAACAGTGGGAGGATTTCTGGAGCACAAACGAGCACGTACCACGTGACACTAAGCGTCGTACCGCGTTCCACGCGGCGGCGTGTGTTTCCAGAACACCTCCGATTGGACACATTTCGTTTCTTATGCATTAATAAGACAGGTAGGAAACGCCAGAAAGCCAAGGTGGAGTGGTGTAGAGGTTAGCACACCCGACCGGACATTGGGAGGCCCAGAGTTCAAATCCTGGCTCCGCCGTTTTTTGGCTTTCGGCGGGTTCCTGAAAACTTGGATTCTTTGATTCATTGGATTAAGTATGGTTCATTCACCTGCACATATTCGTTTATATCCTCCTCGGAGACCACGTGCGATGACGTGAAGTGCCCGTGTTGTATATTCAATAACGTGGCTCTTGATTCTCGCAGATGATGACGATACAGTGTCTCTAAAAGCTCATAAACAAAGAATACTACATGTACACGGGGCGAGACAAACAGTGGGAGGATTTCTGGAGCACAAACGAGCACGTACCACGTGACACTAAGCGTCGTACCGCGTTCCACGCGGCGGCGTGTGTTTCCAGAACACCTCCGATTGGACACATTTCGTTTCTTATGCATTAATAAGACAGGTAGGAAACGCCAGAAAGCCAAGGTGGAGTGGTGTAGAGGTTAGCACACCCGACCGGACATTGGGAGGCCCAGAGTTCAAATCCTGGCTCCGCCGTTTTTTGGCTTTCGGCGGGTTCCTGAAAACTTGGATTCTTTGATTCATTGGATTAAGTATGGTTCATTCACCTGCACATATTCGTTTATATCCTCCTCGGAGACCACGTGCGATGACGTGAAGTGCCCGTGTTGTATATTCAATAACGTGGCTCTTGATTCTCGCAGATGATGATGATACCGTGTCTCTAAAAGCTCATAAACAAAGAATACTACATGTACACGGGGCGAGACAAACAGTGGGAGGATTTCTGGAGCACAAACGAGCACGTACCACGTGACACTAAGCGTCGTACCGCGTTCCACGCGGCGGCGTGTGTTTCCAGAACACCTCCGATTGGACACATTTCGTTTCTTATGCATTAATAAGACAGGTAGGAAACGCCAGAAAGCCAAGGTGGAGTGGTGTAGAGGTTAGCACACCCGACCGGACATTGGGAGGCCCAGAGTTCAAATCCTGGCTCCGCCGTTTTTTGGCTTTCGGCGGGTTCCTGAAAACTTGGATTCTTTGATTCATTGGATTAAGTATGGTTCATTCACCTGCACATATTCGTTTATATCCTCCTCGGAGACCACGTGCGATGACGTGAAGTGCCCGTGTTGTATATTCAATAACGTGGCTCTTGATTCTCGCAGATGATGACGATACAGTGTCTCTAAAAGCTCATAAACAAAGAATACTACATGTACACGGGGCGAGACAAACAGTGGGAGGATTTCTGGAGCACAAACGAGCACGTACCACGTGACACTAAGCGTCGTACCGCGTTCCACGCGGCGGCGTGTGTTTCCAGAACACCTCCGATTGGACACATTTCGTTTCTTATGCATTAATAAGACAGGTAGGAAACGCCAGAAAGCCAAGGTGGAGTGGTGTAGAGGTTAGCACACCCGACCGGACATTGGGAGGCCCAGAGTTCAAATCCTGGCTCCGCCGTTTTTTGGCTTTCGGCGGGTTCCTGAAAACTTGGATTCTATATCTTGGATATATATATATATATATATATATATATATATATATATATATATATATATATATATATATATATATATATATATATATATATATATATATATATATATATATATATATATCATTCTAGCACTTACGTGGACCCTTTTCAAAATTCACAGCCACCTGGTGGATTTAATGTCAGTCTAACTCTTGCCGTACGGTCACGAAATTGTAATTCATCGGGCAAGGTCGCTTTCGAACGTCAATGGCAAACAATTAAATGGGTCTTTCATAATTATAACTCATAATTATAAGTCAGCGACTTATAAACTTTTTGATACAACGCCGTTCATCTAAGGGTTTTAGAGCCTATCTTGTACCAAGAGATGGACTAGATCAAAGTCCGTAATAAACGCTCACGCGGCCCTGGTATCTAATTCGCGTGTCGCGTGCACTGCTAACGTCTCGAATGCACCAAAGACATCGATCCTCGTCCAGGAAAAATGAATGGGACTCACCTGAGAAATGTTGGTTCCACAGCCACCAAATGAAGCTCCTGGATAAAAACAATACAAGAAATACGAGTATTAGTCATCACGATTACAAAGGAGAGAAAAAACGAGAGTACAGCTAGAGCACAAGGTGCGACTCAAATTAAAATGTTCGAAAGCAAAATTTGTATGCCTCTCGGCTTCTTATGGGTAACATATCAATAGCCTGGATACACATAAAATTCTGGCTCTCATGTTCCTATAAAAAAAGAAAATATGTTTTTCCTTTCTTTTTTAACCGGTAAAAGAGAAAAATAAAACATTCCATCCCAAGTATTGTAGCATTTTTCTAGGGGTGCGCAAATATTGGTTCCAGTGGAATAGCGCTGTACGTATAGGGAGTATTCACTGTCGGCCATATCCGTGTGCGCTGCTGCTCAGCGCATGCTGCCTGCGAGCTTCCGCAGTCCTTTTGGAGCGTGCATTTAGCACCATCAAGGTTGCCGGTCTTAGCAGGCTATTAATGAGAGCTCGTTCTGAGCATGCGCTCTAAACATCGCCCTCAAATATGGCGTCCAGTGAATACCTCCTAATCGTAGTTTTCACAGCGCTGAAGAGACCGCAACATACAAGCTCTCCTTGCAGTGTTCGAGCTAGAGATGGTACTGAGCTATTCAATTCAAATTAGTATTCACGCATTTTCTTCTTTTTTTTTTAATTAGAAATTTAAAATGTCGACTATCCTTCACGAATAACTGTCTACGAGACGAGTTGAGCATCTCACAGTCACAGATACGAGTAGCAGATTAGATCGGGGAAAGATCATCAGGAACAGATCAAAATGAGAGGAGCATTGATTGTGATGGAGTATTGGTCAAAGCCCGGCAAAATCAAGCTTCGTATTCCCTTTTTTTTTTTTTTTTTTTCAGTAAATTTACAAGCACGCAGACCAGTGTTGAGGAGGGTACTGTCCCGCACGACAAACATCGTCAGCACCTGTTTTGGACAAATTTCGCCCTTTTTGTTTGGTATCCGTGTAGTACGGGGCATAAAACGCTATAAAACCGGCACGACGGCACGGGAGGCACGTTGGGCTGCCGTTCCTTTGTAGTTCGCAGACAAACCGCCAGACAGAACTCGCGTTTACTCAAAAATGTTCCATTGGAGATATCGCAAACCTGCCGAGGTTCGACCCTTTCTAACTTCTTTGACGAAAAGTTCGACGACGAAAATTAGACTATTATGCGCATGCGCGAAAACTGAGAACGATCAGACACGCCACCCATCAGAGAATTGGGACAAACGAACTAAATCGTTAAAATATTATATGTTTGCCTTCGTATTGCGTATAGTTTAAAAGTCGAACTTCGCCGAATTCGCCCCAAAAAAAAAATCGAAAAACGATAAAAAAAAAAAAAAAGTTTGCAACAACCCTAGATGGATTCCGCAGCGTTTACTGAAAAGCAGAGACGTCCGTTCACATATGGCGCCGGAAAATTTCGAGGCTAAATTAAACAAAACTAAGAATTAAGGCCAAAATTATGTCCTTTCATTTTTGATGTCAGCCTCGCTACACTGTGCTCGACAACGGGCACCCACTACACAATACGTCACTCGTACTCTGTACCATTATGGCACCAAAACAGTTCAACAAATTTCCCAAACCGGCGAAACAGTCCGCAGCTGCAACAACGCGAGCTGCGTCATCTATTTTTCTGGCTTCGGCACAACCGCACTTGTATAGGCACAGAGTCATTCCTACCTGTCTCCACCACGTCATTCAAAGAGTGCACAGCTGCTGCGTTCGTTTTATTATTTTAGATGAAGCGCGTACCAGAGTCGGATACTTAAATTGTTGCTTGAGAGCTTTCTGCAAATAGAACGCTAATAACACATCTCTAAAACGAGGAAGCGAGACCAAAAACAGCGTGCAACCGACTTTCGTACTACGGAAATACATCCTCACAACAAAAAGGAACCAACGGCCTTGGCGCGGACAGGGCTTGCGTAGTTGGAACTAGTGGATGCTTCCCTTTGAATAAACCCTTTTGAAAACTGCGTCAGCACACGCAAAATATAGAGCTCGGCGAATCAACGCCGCCCATTGCGATACTTTCATAGGGCCTTACGTTTGTTCTGCCATTCCTTACGAACTTGTTATAAAATGTATTCGTATACATACGGGAAGTTCGGCCGCGCTCGGCGACCAAGGTTTTGTCGACCGAAGCGAGCGTCAGTCAGCGTACACCCCGATTTAGCTACGCAAACAAAAGATTAATCGGGATCATGGTCTCGTGAGTGTCCAACTGGCCACGAATGTCGCGTTCATACCCTGCCTTGCTCTGTTCAACGCGGACAGGACTATCGTCGATATCCACCGAGTTTCCGTGCAACGGCGATCAAGACATGGCGTTAAATGAACGTTTACGTTGTTTATTGGCATATTCAAACGAAACAATGAACGGTCCAATGCATTTTCCGAAAAGAGCCTTACCTGGAAAAGAAATTCGAACGCGCTATTCGTCTTACCTTGAGCACTTTTCATCAACAAAAGCGAGCAAACCGCGCACCCGCGACAGAACCGACGCAGCTAATCCCGAAATTTCGTTTGTTTCTCTCTTTTAGCGCCGGGACTTCGTCGCGATCCGAGATTACGTCATGCCTCGCTCCTGGAGCCGCTACTGAACGCGCCCAATGGTTCGAGTTTCCGTTTCTTATAAACTCGTCACAGGAAGTTTTCTCGAAGGACAACCATCTAATTTCCATGGGAAGCTCACACTAACAGATGTCGCCGTAACACATTTCTTCTCTTTTAATGCAGGAAATGCTTTTTTGACAGAGAGCCCCAACCCCAAAATGGTATCCGTTCGTCCGTCCGTCCGTCCGTCCCCATATTTTCCGCTAAATTTAGCGGGGAAAGTTACGTCACGTGGCCTATGCGCCCTGGGGAAATTGACGGCACGTGACCAATACGTAATTTCAGTTTCCCCGCTAAAACTAGCGGTAAAATGTACATCACGTGACACGAATTTCCACACCCAAGACCTCCCCGCCTCCTACCAACACCTCTAGATAACCCTAAGTGATGCTGCACCCATCCGTCCTCCTCCATCCCCAACTACCTCCAATTCCTTACGTATATCTCCCTCCCCTTCCCTCCCTCCCTCTGCTTGGTAGCATGACACACCAATTCAGTTTCCCCGCTAAATTCAGCGGAGAAATACTTTGCCACAACAATTTCCTCTCCCCAGTTCTCTCCTCTCTCCACACCCTCCGACAGTGCCCTCACCCTTTGCCTCACCCCTCCCCGTCTGCCTCCCTCTTCCTCCTTTCTTTTCTCCCACCCTCTTCCCTCTCCCTATTCCTTCCTCCCCCTACTGTGCCCAATTCCCTCCCCTCCCTCCCCCTTGCAGTTCTTTCACCACTCCCTAGTCACGTGACACATCTATTCAGTTTCCTCAAAATCTGTCCGTAACGACTGTTTACTTATCTTTCAAACGATTGCAACAATCGATCCCTAAAAACTGCATTTCAGGCATTAGGGAACTTCAAAGGTAAAGCTCGCTGCCGTTTCGTTTGTTTTTTTTTTAATTGGAGTTTACAACTTAAAAGATGTGCAAGTTCACTTTCCTGCACTGCACGGAAACAGCCAATCAAGACGAAGAATATAAGGATACCAGCGAATGACGAAGCACAGAATACGATAAGACACGGAGCTAGTGAAGCATCAGACTTGGTGTCCCTGTGCACATCCCATTTACTTTTTTTTCTTTTTTAATCGTATCTTGAGTTTTGTTATTTGCTGAGATTCTTCTATCGTTCGCCCTGATTGCCTGTCTCCGTGTTCTGCAAAACAAACAAAAAATGTTTATGCTGTACGTGATACCCAAAAGAAACTCATGCCTCGCAAATTTGTCGCGGTCGCGCAGCTAACAAAAACTATACAAGATAGAAAAAAAGAAGCGCGTCACCGATGCTAACCTCATCTGTTATCTGGGCCCAGACGACCATTTGACACAACGGAATCTCGGTAGCTGCGACCAGACTCGTAAATGTAGAGAGTTTGGCCATTCGTTCGGAAATATAGGAGACAAATGAGGAGGCGCCATTGGCCGAAAGCGGGCTGGGCGTGTTCCAGGGCGTCTTCAGAAATTCGAATGTGGCCAACCAGGAGTCGGAAATGATACCCTGGCGGTGGTCGCGAGAAACAAACCTGCTAACTGCATCGGAGTAACTCTTAATGGCTGAAAATATGGTACACGTGATATTTCAATCACGTTAATCCAAAATGATGGTGGAAGAGTGCGACTAGCGGAACGATCGGCATGATCCGTACGCCAAGCGCCCAGGGCCGGGAATCTGCCGTCCGAGCGGTCGCACTCTGTCCGCGCAAAACAGAGTTGCGCGGCGCATTCGTTTCTTACATCTTTCCTGCGTGATCATGATCAAAACAACACGTGCACCCTATTTTCAACCACAAAGAGTTACTACACTTCACTCGTACGCGTTTATTAAAACCACATACGAACATAGACTTTTGATCAGAACTGTTTCTCGCTACCACCGCTAGGGGATTCTTTCCGGCTTCTGGTTGGTCAAGAGAGCATGCCAGCCCTCTTTCCGAGTCTGCCGCACGCCCTGACCCTGCCCGCGCCTCCCATTGACCAAACTATCTCTATACACGGCTCTGGCTGTGACTGCGTCATCGAGAAAGCATCACATAAAAGTGTTGGCGCAGCTGCGTTTGATGTGCTTCAAGGTGACTCAATGCCTATGCATGTCCTCGCAGTAGTGTCGATACGCGTTTGGCGCTGGCATGATTCGAGTGAATCATATACGAACGCCAAACCCATTACAACACTACCTGTTTCACTGCAGGTTTGGGGATGATTTACGAGTAAATCATCACCAAGCCTGCAATGAAGCAAGTGACTGGCTTGGTTGGGTGATGATGCACAAGTGATTCGTCACTAAACCTGCAGTAAAACAAGTGATAGGCTGTCCTCGTTTCAGCAAAACAATAAACTCACTTTTTTTTTTTTTTTTTTTTTTTTGTAGAGCGCAG